GTAGAATGATTGTGCAGAAGAATGTCCAGCTGAAATTTGAGACTATGTCAAACCTGAGTTCTTATGAACCTTAAGAGAGATCCATTAGACCAGTGATTTGGATTCATGGATAATGTGGATACAGTTTGGCAAAGAAAAAGATGCCTGAGGCAGCACCAACAACCTGCTCCCCTTTATCAATCTCTCCTGCAAATATCTCTTCTTGAGCTGTGAGGTGCCAGCAAGGTGTAACACTTCTCCACATTATGACTGAGAAAGGAAGTAGAAGAAGTAGCCAAAGAAGAACATACTCATAGCTACTTCATCATGTGAAACAACATTCCTCCTTTCACAGCTGCAAAATCACACTCCAGCTGCAAAATCACACTCCAGCACTCCCATTGTTTACTCAGGAGTGTTTTTGACTACCCTCTTGCTCTGCTTGCTTTTTTTCCAAGCCCAGACACAGATGATGCATACCACATCTGATTTCAAACTCATCTAGATAATAAGACCTGTGTCCTGCCCCACCTCTCCCTCATTTCAGCAATGCCCTCTGCTGCAGCCTAGCTAAGCAGCCAACTTCTGCAAGCAAAAACCTTGAATATACAAATAGAATTGCTGATAGTTAAGAGACTTTATCCAGGCTTAAACCATTTCCTACTCTTCCATTATTAAAATAAGCATGTTTCCTCCCTTGATTCATTAATGAATGCTATTCTTACCAGTGACAGTAGCTGAACTTGTGTCTAACATATGATCTGCAACAGACCAGAATTGAGAACACCTCCTCAACACAGTGCCATGCAGAAGCACAACAATTCTTTGGAATACCTGCCACTGCCTCAGAGCTGATCATTCTGCTCTGTCAGGTTCCTGTCTCTGTCCAGAGGAAGATGGCATTCAATGCCAGGTTTCAGTTCTGTCAGAGTCATGGCAGTCTCGTTGTTCCCCACTTCCACCTCCTCTGTATCACCACAAACAGAGGTGTAGTTCACCATGTACCTAGGAGGGTCTGGGCCCTGTCCCAGGAGATGGTGGCGATGGCTTCTGTCACTTGGTCATTGACCAGGTGAGCCAAGCTGTCAATTCCTGCAGAGACAGTGAGAACAAAGAGCACAGGCTGTTATAATCAGGCTCTGCTGTGACCTGCGACACTGCTTCCTCTCAAGGGCCTTGCTAGTTTCTTCCTTTTTCAAGTCCTATTTCTGATCACACATTGATTGGACCCACAAATCTGAATGGTCTGAGATGGTTTAAAAAAGTCAGGTTTTAATTCTAATAGATGTTTTACTGTGAAACAGCACAGCCAGTCCTGACCTGGACAGAAAAGCCCTTACAAAGCACAATACTGTAACTTTCCTGTTTTGTCATGGTCACAAGCACACATGCATGCCATCTGTCCAGAAAGTGAGACAACAACCAAAGCTCTTTTGTTAAGAGGCCAGGGTGACCCAGGTACACATTTATTCATCTTCCTCCAGTAAGTCCCTGACCTAGAGATGAGTCTTGTCCATGCCTGCCACCACCTTCAGTGGATTCCAGTGCCCAGATTTACAGTGTTGTTATAAACTGGGAACACATGAGGAAGATCACTACACATCCTTAACTGGGACTGGCAACACAAGAACAACTGAGGAACCATGATTACTCATTTGATTC